ATTGTTCATGACTTACGATCAACTTTAGTCGTAAGAATTTTTGTGCAACTGATCATTGGTCATAGCCGTGGTCGTTTAGTAGTTGGTAACGAAAGTAATAATGGTGAAATTTACAGTACGCAGTTCGATCTTGTAACCGGAATGATTTTTTTTTTTTTTTTTTTTTTTTTGTTAAAGTAATTTTTTCTCGAGCATATAATTGTTTTAATCTCAAAGGTATTATCCATTCCATTTTCAGATAATTATAATAATTTTTGTATTGTTTTTTATTGTCTTCTTAGAAGTAGTTTTCGGTCGTGGCTTTTATATCACACTTTATTTAGATTCGAGTCCGTTTAATGTTGACGTGATGTTTATTTAGACCATTTATTATCAAACAAAGAAAAATTGATTCATAGCATAATACAAGTATTATGAAACTAAAATCACATGTAAGCATTTACTGTGATGAAAAAGAAAAATTGAAAGTCCTAGCACGTTAAAAGTGACAAGTGTAATGGACAAATGGATGTTTATTTTATAGTGGCTACAACTATATTGTGTAATAAAGGTTCAGTTTATTACAACGATGTTGAAAATCGACCAATGTTCAACCCTGCCATCCGAAATAAACTCGTTTTTATGATTTTAAAGAAAAAGTTTGATTCAGTTTTTTTTTCTTGTATCGTTGTCTATATTTTGATATTGCTGTATAATTATAATCAAGAACGTTCACATATCGATCATAATCTTCCTAAAGTAAAACAAATAACACACAAAATGAAACAGAAACACTAACATATGAAAAGAAAATCAACAGACCAAGACATAATATGTATTCCATAAAATATAGAAGCTAATTATCAATGAAACCGAATCCAGTTTGTTAGCATGTACTGACAATTAACGCTTTAAGAGTATAATTTATATGATGATTTGTGTCAGCACTTATGGTCTAGTGGTATCATGCATAGACTGAAGAAGACTGCAATGAATTGCGATAAAAAAACGCGCAAATTCGAACCTTTTATATGAAACTCCTTTTTGAGAGGATAAAAGATCTTAAGTTTAAAGTTAGAGTTATATCATAAGTTATCTTAAGTTATAAAAGTGGTCAGTGGATTCTTAAAAAATAATCTACAGTTAGAACAACAGACTGACGTCAGGAAAATGTGTTAAATTGAGATTATTGGTTTCACAGATATGAAACTCTAGAAACATTTTAGAGCTTTGCATATTATTAAGACAACTGTCTATTACTGCTTCCGGTAGTGGCTCTTGAAGTTATTTATTTTTCGATAGACGACGTTGACGGAACTACTTTTTGCAACCAATGTAAACAAGATGGCGGCGATAATAACACAAACCGGCTCGACGTTAAACATATTTATTTTCACTTCGCGTTCTTCGTTAAATTAAACATGTTGAATAATAAACGCAAAACATTCATTTGAATGATACTAAGATATTTTTGTAGTTTATCAGATTATTTTTTATCAGGTAGCAAGTTACATGGAGTACGTTTTTTTTACGTCAAACAAAAAATATTTTCATGAGCCAAGCCAATTCAATGACACAATATATACAATTTACGTGTGATAGAGCTACGAGTCGGGAAATTAAATACATTATCTCCAATTTAAAAGAATTATAAGGATTAAACGCATTTTTAAATTTTTAAACTGAACCAAGTCACTCAAAAACATATCATCAAAGTCCGTAAAAGTCCTTCGGACTTGTATTTGTTTGTGAATGAATTGGTCCAGTTTATACACCAATGAATTCCTTTAATCCTATAGTGTGCAACACGTGTATGACATCTTCACGCACGGTCCACACCTTCATTTTGTAACGCATACCATCCAAAAAGTTTGAAACTATATAAACTAAAAGGTTTAAACAGAACAGAAAAAAGCGTCTAAGGTAAATTTGACCGAGAGAATGGACACCTTATTTGATATCAATTACATAATTTAATGAACTGTAAATTTAAAGGCAAAATGTATCATCTAAATCATGTATATCTTTATTCCAAACCATTATTTACCATCTTTTTGACAAGATATAGAGAAATACATATGAACGATATATATATACATACGATGTATGTACCATTAAAAAATTCGATTCGTATAAGACATTTTTCAACAAAAAAGGGATGGATTCAAACTACATTTAGCCTTTAGTACACACCTTTATTTATGATCTTTTTTTATGAAATCTATAATTTATACTTTAAAATAGTTGGTCTGCTTTAACTATATTTTTGTATGTTGATTTTTTTCTCTTGCTAAAAAATGAACATTCTTGATTAAAGTGAAACTCGTCTCCGATTTAATTTTTACTTCACAGTGACACTTTCTTTTTTTTTTCTGTTGATGTTATATCATATCTACCAGCTTCAATAGGTAACTTATGGTTTGTTGTTTTAAATTTGCATATTTCCGTTAGAGTTTTGTTATCTAAAATCTCTAAATAAACTTCCGAAAAGAAATAATCTTAAATATTCTGTAATATACAGCTCCGGTGATTATTCTAACAATAAATAAAATTTATTAATGCCAATTTTGTTCAAATCATCTGTAGGGTTTCTACTAACTGTACGACGCAAATAATTTAAATTCATAAATGTTTGTGTGTTCCAAATATATGTTATTCCACATCAATTTAGAACATGTTTTATGTAATCTAACTTATAAAAAGTATAACAAGAATACCGAACTCCCAGGCAAAATCAAAAAGCGGAGTCCATAAAAACTGACAAAATTAAGCACGATATATAAATAAAGGCAACAGTAGTATTCCGCTGTTCGAAATTCATAAATCGATAGAGATAAAAACAAATCCGGGTTACAAACTAAAACTGAGGGAAACGCATCAAATATAAGAGGAGAACAACGACACAACAAAAACACAACATTAAAATGTAATACACACAGAAACGAACTATAATATAACAATGGCCATTTTCCTGACTCGGTACAGGACATTTTAAGAAAAAATGGTGGGTTGAACCTGGTTTTGTGGCATGCCAAACCTCCCGCTTTAATGGCAACGTCAAACACAACACCAAAACGACAACATCACATGACAGGACCACAATACAAATAAATGGGAGAACATATAGGACAAAGAAACACACGAATAATAGCTAACAAAAGGTACTAGGCTTAAAATTCAATACGCCAGACGTGCGTAAGTTGACACGGTTATCCGTTCACATCTGACAACTGATAACATAAGTTATAAACAATTCTGAACAATTTTTACTCTTTTCCAGAACGAAGATTAGCCCAGAATGATATCATTATACCTTTTACATGTATGTCAAATATATAATATGAGATGATGTACAAGATTTTAAATGTAGCAGAAATTTACAAAATGTTAAATAACCGTTTTGATTATTTCGTTATTACTGAAACCCCATATATATATATACTTCGCACCTATACATTTCAACAGGTTTATCAAATAATTCAAGCTGTATTTTGACTGCAAGGCCATGATTTCTGTCCAATTTTAGGACCTCATAAAAAGTCTAAATATCTTTGGAACTGCTTCGTTCTCTTAAAGTTCCCATTCCTAGGCAATTTTATGCCTAAATAATTAATATTATTCAGTTTCTAGTTCTTTTTCGTACAGGACAAAACTAAAATTCCTTTGAAGTGTTCCTCTAGAAACAAAAAAAAATATAAACATTTACTTTCAGATTCGATTTAGAACCATAATCTTGAAATGAGTCAAGTTGTTTTTGAAGAATTCTGCCATTAGCATAGAATCATCAGCAAATAAAATTACAAATAACTTTAAATTTGTATCAAGTTTGTCGTGAGATCAATTTCGTTGAAAATCGTTTTGAATCTGTTTACACAGGGAAATTTCACTCATTCGCGTGAATGATATACCTCAAACGAGCTTATACGTGAAACTCACATGAACTGATTTCACATGAATTTAACGTGAAAATCACATAAATTTTCAAAATAAAGTTATTCAAACATCTTAATTTTCAAATTTAATTAGAATCATGAAAAATACCTTATTTTTTTTTTGTAGAAATTACATGAAATTATACGAACAATTGGATTGTAAACGCTTTACATTTCTTGTCTGATTTTTATTTGAAAAGTTTTTAAATAAGCTAAAACATAATTTTTTGAATTTTTACCATTGGAGAGATTAAATACTGCACTGACAGAAAGACATTGGAACGATGTTCTTTAATTAATATTGTCTTATTGATTTGTTTTGAGCTTTCAAGCAGCAAATAATAAAAAACAAGTTTTACTTTGAGATCATGTCATTAAAATGTATATATTATCCAAATTGATAGTTTTGCCTATGTTGATAACTTCGATTGATTATTTTTATATTTGATATACTGGTAAGTTAAGTCTTGTGTGGACGAAACGCGCGTCTTGCGTATTATATTTTAAACCTGGTACCTTTTGTTAGCTATTATTCGTATGTTTCTCTGTCCTATATGTTCTCCCATTTTTTTGTATTGTAGTCCTGTCATGTAATGTTGTCATTTTAATGTTATATTTAACATTGCCACAAAACCAGGTTCAACCCACCATTTTTTTCTTAAAATGTCCTGTACCAAGTCAGGAAAATGGCTATTGTTATATTATAGTTCGTTTCTGTGTGTGTTACATTTTAATGTTGTGTTTCTGTTGTGTCGTAGTTCTCCTCTTATATTTGATGTGTTTCCCTCAGTTTTAGTTTGTAACCCGGATTTGTTTTTTTCTCAATAGATTTATGAATTTCGAACAGCGGTATAGTACTGTTGCCTTTATTTATTTGTCATAACCATTCTGCAACAAAACTATATTTGTCTGAAAAACGATTGATTACACGCAAGATTTCTTTATAATAATACAACATGTATAAATTTGATATCCATTTCCATGGCGCAAGCTTATGGAGGTGGTCGAAAGAATGAACACTGTTATGAAAGCAGTTCAGAACAATCCCATAATAATGATAACTAGGTTAATGATAACATAAAACGTATGTTAAAAAATGTTTTACTGCACAAGATGCGTATTTCCACAGTTAAGGGATGTTCAAAGCCAAAACATTTGAATTCCAAAATCTAATACAAACGTTGAAGAGATGATCAAACTAAAAAGACCAAAAGTATAGCCAAAACCGGACATAGAATCAACGCTTGCATGAGGGAGATATATTTGTTATTTAAACGCTCATTCAACTAATCTAATCTGTTGGTGGACTATCAGTCCCCGAGGTTATAATCAGCTCAGTAGTCTGTACTTCGGTACTGACATGATTTCTAACAAACATTTCTTAAATAGTCCCTTTATAAATTTTTAGAGGTTTAAAAAGAAAACAGACGCGAAAGATACACAATCAAGGAAAAAGAGGAAAGTTTTGAAGACAATTATAACATATTCGTGGTCATCTGTGACGCTAATATTCATTTCCTCTTGCAATCATTCATATTTCTAATACGCAATTAACTGCATGTACTGTCTGAAGTGTCTCTATGTTCTTTAATTTCTTTTTCCTTCTTATTTCGTCTTCTGTTTTTTCATCTGAAACAATACAAATATATATCAAAGATTAGAGTTTTACAGACACCATTTACCTTCATCATTATATCACCAGTGAAGAGATCACAACGCAAACATTTCATCTGCGAATAACACATGATTTTAATTTCACTTATCTACAGAAAGTTAGGCACTGAAATCGTCATCACCCGTTTTTTATTAACTAGCGCATACAATGTAACCCTGGACATAAATTTACCAAACAATCACACGATTAACTTCTCAGATTACAGTTAAACAGTTTTACTAATGAAAGCAGAGACATTTAAATTTTTCTTGTGAAATGAGTTCCTTTTCCGAACAAAAATAAGTACACAGCGGTTTTTGTCGGCAAATATTAACTTAATCAACCATTTGCTCTGCAAGAGCAGTATGCGTCTAAATAATGTTATTAGTGTCTTTGATTTAAGCTGTTGAAATGTTGCTTTTAATGAAAATTATGTTGTATGTGAGATATAATAGTTCAATGAAATCTAATGTGTTTTTTTCACATACCATTTACTTGTATTCTTCAAAGTCATATAGCAAGGATAGAAAAAGTGTACTCAAAATTACTCCTTTCGAATGTCAATACATTACATATATCAGATGGAGAAAAATCAAAAAGATGATGAAAAACGAACAATGCGTTTATTAGGAACTCTTCTTATTCCTTACTTGTATCGACTCATTTGCAACAAACGGAACAAAACATTATGTTAATCAAATATTATATAGATATATTACTAGAATAACCTTGATACACTAAACAACATGTTATCTGATAATTGTTTCATTGACAATCATACCAAATCTCCATATCTTTTATATGTATCCATGTACATTTGTTGCTGAACTGGTGCTATGCTACGCCCATTTTCAACAATGACCATACCATTGCCCTATTTAACATAGCTAATCCTTTAAAATTCAGAGACAATAAGCAATTGGCAGTCTTTATGGTTTTTTTTCAGTTTTGGGGAACTTTTTTTATTTTTAGTCTTGGTTGCGGCCTTGTTTCAAAGCAGTTGTGGTCATCAATTATATTTCTTAATAATGATCACAAATGTATCCTTGATTTCCTCAAAGTTCAATACCAATCGGCCTCTTACAAGATTCTCATTTTCTTTTTACCTCCAACAACTCAAGTTTAGCGAAAGAGTTTATTATAGGTTTCATAACGAATGAGAATTGGATATCGCTTAAAAGCAACTCAGACATGTTAAACTTTTGTACGCTTCGGAATGTAATAAAATTCAACAAATAGAAGATTTTCAGGTGAAAAGTGTTTGTGTTTTGTACATTATTGAAGTCTTGAAATAACATATGTACAATACCATGGACGAAATGTACATCGTCTTAACTTTTGAAAATCATCAATGACTAACGAATAGCCAATGCAAATGTCGTAATATTGTCTCATGATGCAGGATAAGCCAATCAAATCAAGGCAGTTTTCGTATCAGACTCAGTGCTGTACGATACGAGAAATATCTATTCATACAAGAAATACACAACAGGCCACAACCATAAGAGAATGTAAATTATAACTTTTAAAGAATACCCCAAAGATCATTTGTTTAAGGAAGATAGTATACAAAACATCTTTTTTGTTGATTTATTTTTTAATTCTATTTCAAGTAACGCGGTAAACATGTTTCAATGCAGGTTGGATCACAAACAAGAATGCATTATTCATTAAGGCGGATGAGGTCTCTTAATTAAAATCCATAGAATTTTTTAATAATTTGTCAAAATGTAGTTTTTATCACGCTTTTTTCTTAAATATAATAAAAAGTATGGGTCACCGGACTTTTTTTCACGCTGCAGGTTGTCGAATTTTGTATAGCTTATGCATGGAAAATCCAATTTTGTGTGATAAAGAGAAAACTTCACCATAGAATTTTAAGATAAAATGTGTGAATATATAGCTCTTATAACATGCTTTCAGATAAGAAAAAGAAAAAATGGGGTCACCGGACTTGTTTTCTTGCTACATATTAAAATAGGTAAATTCACAACACTTTATATTATAAAAATTACGTAATCTGAGTTATCTCCCTTACTATCTGAGTTATCTCCCCTTATGTGGCAAAGTTAAACAAAAAATGAATTAGACAAAAATATTGTGTTTTTTAGAAAATACAGCCGTAAATATGATATTACCATGAAAAGTCTTACATATGAATTACATACTACTCTCAAAATTTGCACATTTGATAAAAGATCTAAACCAATTGTTATATGCTACTTCAAAATCCAAAATGGAGGAAGACACCCCAGCCACTATAACCGACCTTGCAAGGGCTGTATAGCCAGTCAAGGTCGTTAAAAACTTCCATATATATAGCCACTTTAAGAGAATCATAAATATGTCATTAATCAAAGAGTGGTAGCAATACTGATAATTGATTCTTCAAATGTTTCTTTTTTGGAAAAAAAAAAACTAATCGCCATGAAATAGTCAATAGTGATGAAATTGGCGTTAAACGTCAATCTTTCAATCTGATTATTTCTGGATTTTCAAATTGATTCTGCTATATTTAAATGTGGACGGGGTTATCGATAATAATAAATGTATAATTAACTAATGCTTTGGTGTTTTGTATCAAATAAAATTAGGTGTTTGATGGCGGATATGGTCACCAAACATTAATATTGAAGTGGATGAAACATGGTATAGTTTTACAAACTATTATATTATATGTTCTTGATCACCTCATGATTTTCCTGACTTTTATTTCATTTAGTTACTTTTAATAACTGAGGCGGTTATGTTTGAAGACTGTCAAGATCAGCCATAAAAAATAATCACAAATGTTCCTTTCCTAAACGTTTGACACTCATTGGCCTTTTCACATTTCTTAAGAATTTTTTAACTGAACTTTTTTCACTCCTATTTTTAGCAAAAGCAGCCATGTTAAACTAACGACTGGGTCCTCAAGCGTATAGCGCAACTCGAAAAGTGATGAAGACGAAGATACACTATATATATCAAATTTGATGATGTGGTTTCAGAGGATAATTATTTTTATCGATTTTGTTATTTTAGTAGTAGTTGTAGCCATGTTTGAAGAGTTTTGAATCATTATAGCCATATACTTTGAATTTGATCCCTATTGCAAAACGTTAACAATATTTAAAGTAAATCACCAAGGATGAAACAGGTTGCGTTTGATTCAAACTTGACTCGTGATATCCAGAGCAGATTTTTTTTAAATATTATTTAAGAGACAAAGTGAAAAAATAATCGCTCCCATGGGACATATGGCTAAAAATTGATTCAAGAATGATTTCATATCGTTGATGTAAGGTAGGTATAAAGTAAAACGACACCCTTCAAAGTTCATTCCACAAAGAGCCTAATAAATTAAGGATAAACAACATGATAACGGTGACAATTTTGGATTGAACTATTCTACGGTAGATCATATCTTGCAAACAGGCTAAAAATATATATAAACTCACTATCGTTTTCCTGATTATGATCATCGTTTCCATGCCTGCATCTCTTCAATTTACGATATATTGCCATGCATAACATAATCGGTCTGATAATTAGGTTAAACGGTGCAGGTATTATGGTACGATAGTCCATTATAACTTCATATCTCAAATATCGCCACAATTTCCCGGAGTTTTCTTGGACTCGTCTAAACCGAAAGCTGAAATGAAATATAAATCAATTGTTTTAAAAACAATTGTTAACGGTCTTTCCTTTCCGAAACATGATTGATTAATTGATTTTTTTTATTGATTGATTGATTGATTGATTGATTGATTGATTGATTGACTAATTAAACACATGGGACCGAGCCACTAGGAACATGCAAAAAGGGAATTGAGAGCCTAGTGGCAATGTTTAAACACTTGAGACCTAGCCTCTAGGAACACGCAAAAAAGGAATTGAGAGCCTAGTGGCCGTGTTTAAACACTTGAGACCTAGCCTCTAGGAATACGCGAAAAAGGAATTGAAAGCCTAGTTCCCGTGTTTAAACACTTGGGACCTAGCCTCTAGGAATACGCGAAAAAGGAATTGAGAGCCTAGTAGCCGTGTTTAAACACTTGAGACCTAGCCTCTAGGAATACGCGAAAAAGAAATTGAGAGCCTAGTGGCCGTGTTTAAACACTTGAGACCTAGCCTCTAGGAATACGCGAAAAAGGAATTGAGAGCCTAGTTCCCGTGTTTAAACAATTGGGACCTAGCCTCTAGGAATTGAGAGCCTAGGGGCCGCGCATATGGCAAAATCAAAGGTACTTTATTCAAATGATTTGCACCACGTGACTTTGTCCCTTTTGATCAAAATACCTCCCTTAGCTTAAGATTGAAAATATAATTTATTTTAGATTTGCGGATAATCATGTCCTTTTCCGTCATGTATCTTAAACTAATGTATCTTTTAAAACTTCCTTTGGCGGATATTTACAAAAAATGCTGTGTAATTCGAAGGGAAAATGCTTAAAATTTGAAATGGGAAGGTTGAAATCATCATTTTTTTAAAAGAATTTGGCCGAAAACATAAGAAAGCAGGTAAGTTAAAAGTTATTTAAATTTAGAATTCAACCTACAAGGTGTTTCCCTATATGCGAACAAATCATGAACAATATCTTCTTGCATATGTATTTCTGTTTTGAATCTTGCTATTTTACGATTTTCCGTCATTTTATATGATCTTATATAGCAATTATACTATGACTACGCTTCCGATTTTTAAACTAAAAAGGCCGAAAGATTTCAGAGTAGACAATGTCCATTTGTACACGGACAGAAGCCTAAAAGCATGTACAATTCACCTATATGCGAACAAATTGTTCATTCGAGATAGGTATTGGCATATCGGCATTTTTATTTAAGGGGCTTATATAATCCTATTGCAATGGCTGCCGTCATGATAAGGCAAAATTGCCGCTATGCAAATTAGCAAATTACCCCAAATTTTGCCATATGGTTTAAACACTTGAGACCTAGCCTCTAGGAATACGCGAAAAAGGAATTGAGAGCCTAGTTCCCGTGTTTAAACACTTGGGACCTAGGCTCTAGGAACAAGCGAAAACAGGTCCGTGCAACATGTTTATTCATATTCAAATTATGATATTTGTAGGAACATGCAAGGAGTTTAAACACACCTACAAAAAATATCCTTGCATCTTCCTTTATAAATTTTCTCTTTTTTTATAGGGCTTCCCGGAATTTGTGTCTAATGTACTTAATGATCTTATTGTGTGTGCATTGTATTAAATTTTGTATTTAAAGGAAATCGGACCTGACCTGCATGGATCTTTTGTTTTAAATCTACGTGCACATTTTAATTCTTTTCGAAAAGGGGAAAACCCCTATTTTATTTTAGGTAGCACGCGCTGCACTGGATGGTGTGATTGTGACGTCACCAAGCTGATCGATATACACAAAAAAAAATTTAATTTCTTTGCAGAGGAGACGTCGTCAAACCACACCCATGTGTATAAAGATTGTGCTAACAGATTTAATTTTCTTTCATTTACAGGTCATTGATGTCGGATCATGCATGTTTTCTTCGTACACATATTTACGGGAGCACAGAATTGTATTTTAATGCATGTTTAGAAATTTTACTAATATTTACGAGCTTTAGAGAGATTTCTACGTCATTGATTTTAATTTCTCAATCCAGATTGTAACGTCAAGCGGACTGCACGTGATTAATACTGCTAACGGATATATATGTTCTCGATTCATTTTGCAGGTAAACAAAATATTGTCCAATAGCTGACCACTGGTCTACATTCATTGAATGCACACCGGCAAAAATAATGCTGATGTTATATAGTACTATTATAACAAAACGTTTGTCGATTAATTTTCAGAAATACAAGAATTGGAGCAGATTTTTGCAGGAATGGATTTGTATTTCAGAAAGAAGTTTATTCGTAAAACAGAAGGATTAGCATTTTTATAATAAAATAGAAATGGGATTCCTCAAAAAAAGGGGAGAGGGGCTAGAGGGGTGGTTGTGGGCCTTGGATGATTAACAAAGATAAATTACATGTACGCATCATGATAGCTGTAAAGTTTGAAGCTATAATAATAATTAGTTAATTTGTTCATTTTTCCATTTTAGTGGCATGGAACCCCCCACAAAATTACGCGTACCATTTCGACAATACCTCTCCAGTAAAATCATGTCGCGACTAACATTTTGATCACATTTTTTAAAATTTTACCCCTAACTTTTTTCTGAGTAAAAGCAGCTTGAATTGAATATCAAAATTTAGAACATGGCCTTGACCTTTGACCTTGTCCTCATTTTCTAAGTTGGGACCCAAGGATCTCAAATAAAACGACTCTAGGTTTATACTGCTTACGGTTTATGAGTTCATATGCATATCACTTCTTTCAAATGCATAAGGGGAAAAAACTCTCATATGGAGTCTCCGGATGGCTTCGGTCAACATTTAGACAGATCCTGAGGATATAATGAGCAAATTAGTGAAATAATTTTGTCGTAATCTTTTACGGATGCGAAGGAGTAGTGGACACAAGAAAAACAGTGTTTGGGGAGATAACTCTTACAAAGTAAAGTGTTCGGTTAAGCAGTGTCAGTTTCAAAAGGGCAATAACTGTTCGATATCATATATGAAAAATCTAAGCGACATCTTGCGAAACCACAATACTGCGCAAGAACAAAATGTGGCGGAAGAAAAAAAAACTCAGAACAAAAGCAATAGGTCTTTCCACGGAAAAGTGGAAAGACCTAATAAAATATCTCGACTTTATAAAAATAGTGAAACTAAGAAACCTTGAAATACTATTCAACTTGTAATTCCACCTTATGTAATAGTGCTGTATTTTGATTGGATGAGAGACATGGTATTTTTTACCAATTTCTATGTATTGAGATTTCTTTTTCTCTGCCGGGGTATTTGTCATTAGGGAATTCCATGTGCCGGGGTATTTGCTAGCAAATACCATGGCAGATGGGGAATACCATGTCTCAAAATAACCCAATGAATTATTTCTAATCTAATAGGACAAATTTATGGTCATTCTTAATATACGGTTCCAATTGAAATATTTCGGATAAAAAACATCGTTATTGAATTTGGAGCGAATGACGTCAAAATTCCGCGAACCTGTACTTTTAATGACGTCATAAATAAAACTTAACGGCAACACATTGTCAACCGGTCATAAACATAAACTGGAATCCGCTTGTATTACGCTTCCCTCAAGCTGATGAACAAAGTGTAGTAGTCAGCCGAGAACCAGATTATCATAAACAGGGAGATATATATTTCTCTAATTTTTGTGCTATTTTCACATTTCTTGATCGGTGTGAGAAAAATATTTCTCCTCACTAGTGAAATATCTTTTCTCGACAAATGATTGGTCGAAATTTAATTATGACGTCAAATTTTCTTGGTTTCTTCTGAATTTTCCTATTGTGACGTCATCATGAAAAAAGGCGACCATGCCTGATGACGTCACACATAAACAACACAACTTTCTGCATTTTTTTGGAAAAAGAAGGATAAAAATCATTAGAGAAACAGATTCCACCACTATAACTCGTTTATTACGATATTTCTCCACTCTCAACAGTTAAATTTTAATCATTTAAAAAGCTCGGCAAGCCTCGCGCTTTAAATATTAAAATTTAACTGTCTCGAGTGGAGAAATATCGTAACACACTTGTTGCAGTGGTGAAATCTATATATATACGGTCAGAGACTGTACATCAAAAATGATCAGAAATGATTTTACGGCCAATGCAATTTGACTGCGCAAATAGCACAGCTGTAGTATATACAAAAATTATACATTCAAGTAGAAACTCCATATGATACCTGATTACAATAAACTTTCTGAGGTCACGATGGATACAAAGAACATTCGGTGGAATTAAACAATTATATCATGCTTACAAGGGGTATTTGCCAAAAATACCGGTTTCGAGGTTATCAAATTTCCCTCGCCTAACGGCTCTGGAAATTTGTACCTCTCAACCGGTATTTTTGGCAAATACTACTTGTAAGCATGATATATTTGTATAATAATTAATATTGATTTTCATAATCATTATTGTTACTTTCCGTTCTATTAATTTTGCTCAAAACAATAAAACGCTATCTTTATATACAATGCATTTTATATAACTCCATTCTTTAAAACGTTTGACAATCGTCGTATATCGACACTTATCCTAAATCCAGAAAAGTGTTGTAAAATTATACTAAACACACTCATTCTGCTTTCCTTTCGCTTAACTGTTATGTGAAAAAGATATCAGTATTGTTCGTTATTTTTTTGACTATCTAACCTTACTCTTGATCTATATGTAACTTGATTAATATCTTCAAAACTAGGATAGTTGACACATAAAGCATACATTGGTTACGAAATCTTTGTTTTAAGCACACATGCCATAAATTAACACTAAGATGTTGTATACATCAATTCAAATTTTAGTACCTCATACGACGATTTTTTTTAAACGCCTTTCTTCTGGTACGTTGAGTTTTGCATTAACGCTTAAAAAGTAAAACAGAATTGGATAATTTCGTCAGTTAGGTAATCTTGGACATATACGGACGAATATTGGTATACACCACTAAAGTAGAATCAAGTGTTTGGTAATTTAAGAGTCGTAAGCCAATCTGAAAGGTAGAGAAAGACTAAGCTTATATCGCTTTGAGTAACCAAATAGTCGTTAAGAGGAGTAAATTTTGTACAACTGTTAAAAAAAAATATAATTTCAATCTCCTTTTTGGAATGTTGGAGATAGAGTAAACATTTGTCGGATCGGTGACAGATTAATGTGTTCGGGTATTACTAAGTAGACTTGTTATCCAAGTACCCATCAAATATCTCTTCTAGGGAACGTTTGGACCTTTGTAGCAACCAACATTTTAAAATATTCCCCTTCTATCAAATTACAGATGGAACGACAAACACAGAACGCATAAATGCAGAGAAACATTTTATTATTTGGTATAGATCTATTTTTGAATTGGGTTTTTTTTTTCATTTCGATGACCTCTCTTTATGCTGTTTGTACATGTATAGTAACGCAACTTTCGTTTTTATTATAATTTTTTATCATAACGGCAAGTAACGCTAGACAACGCCGTTATCAATACAGAGTTACACATCCGTGATTATCTGTAAATGAACAGTTAAACCGCTTGAAAGATAAACATGAGACTTCATTGATATGTATGTATGGTTACCTTGACAGGGTGTATGAGCCAATATACCTTATAACAAAAACGAAGATTAGAATGGTAATTAATTTTGAAATCGGGGCACTTCAACGGAATATATTTCTTATATTCGGACTGATTGCCTGATGGCTCAGTGGATATAAAACACTAACAGGGAATATGAGCCCATATCCCCTTTGGAGATCCCGAATAACATATATTATTATACTGGAGTGAAATATCCAGGTTAATAAAGCAATGTGATTGGTTACTTTTACAGGGTATATGAGCTCATATACCCTATGAACAAAAATGAAGATCAGAATGATAGTTAAAGTCATGTGATGCATCATTTTTTTTTAAGTTGAATATGCTTTCTATACTTGAGTGTCTACGTTTTATTTTAAATCACGTGTACAAAGACTTTCTTAAACCCTTCAGAAATGTACTGCTATTGAATAATTGTCTTCCCGTACTCTAATTCGCCGATAGCTTTTCCGTATGAAGTGATCATATTCACGAGACCTCTCGTTAGTATTTCGACTACTGCATAGCCCAGTTGGAAGGGAAAACTCGTGACGAAAGAAAAGGTAAACAAACGTTGAAGTAAGATAGTGTAATTAATTCTGATTGAAAAAACAGTAAAACACCAAATCATTTAACAGCTAATTCATAAAGATTAATCATAGAAATAGAAACGTATGAAAAATGTTAAAATAATCGCTCTATTGTATGTCTATCATCTCACTTATTTTTCACATGCTCCATGATTCTTTGTTGATTGTTAAGCTCACGTTTGGTTAATTTTGGCAATGAAATACGAAGGTTAGTAACCAGGCAAATTTTTCACTGAAGGAAATACTTTTTATCGATTATATATTACGAATTCGTAGTAAATGTAAAAAATCGAACATAGAGGACTTAGTTTATTATATATACAAACATTGGTTCAATAATTTCAAGATCATTTCAATTTTAAGAGACTAGATTCGTATGACTTTAATGTTGAAGTCAGGACACTCCAGTAAATTATAATGCTTATTCCTGTTCCACATATTCCCTGTCAGCGCGGTATATAACCTTCGCCTAAAAGCTCAGGAGATATACCGACCGTGCGAGGGCTTTATAGCAAGTCAAGGTCGTTAAAAACCCCCATAAGTTAGGAGATATCAAACACTGCCAGGGGATTACTATATTTTATATAACTGATTTGTTATCTGTTATTTCGATGTTTTTAAGTAGCATCGATGGATTGTTAGTATGTTGAAATCACCCCAGTTTTTGGTTGGGTTCGTGTAGCTCAGTCTTTATATAAGTTTTTTTCTTTGTTGTGTTTTTTATACTGTTTGTCTTTTGATCGTTTTTCCTTTTTTTTTGTTATGGCATTGTTATTTTGGTTTTTTTTTTACTTATGGGTTTGATTATTCCTTTGGTATCGTTCGCCTCTCTATTTGAAACAATTAAACTACAAACCTAAATAAAGCAATCACAAGATTGACGAGAAGAAGGTTCGAAATCAACATATAAAAGGCAGCAATCACAATCAGTACCCAGTCATACCGATTACATCGTTCTATGTCTGGATTACTCTCCCATTCGCTCTGTATAGTGGTACATGGTGTTGTACTGTTAGCTGAAAAGATTTGTTGAACACATTTCTTTACCATCCAATTGTATCTGATTTACTACTGTTGACATATACATTGCATGCCCATTGTACGTTACATGTTAAAGGGAAAATTCGTGATTTTTTACTTATCATCTTATTATGTTCATAATACCATAAAAACATATTCACCAAGTTTTATCTGGATATTAACACTAATAAAGAAGAAAATTGGGAATTATTAATTTTATTTACTCGAACTTCCTGACTACTGTGACGTAGTTTAAGTCTAATTGCATGTCGGGGGTGGAATTAATCTCATTTTAAGTCTTGTTCGTTAATCATCTAATAACGCGATTAAAGCGCATCGACGACTATTTTGCGTAGCTATTAACCAACTAATAATTAAGAAAGTAAAGTGATCAGCCTTGCAACTCTTTAAATTAAAAATGTACGATTTATATTTTATGGATTTCTGATATGATTATAGTAATAAAAGCAAATCATACAATAGAATATTGTAATGAAATTTTTTTCCGACGGATATGTTGAACAAACATATAATTATAACTGATAGTGTAAAAAAAAATGCATGTCTGTATTCTCACCTTTTAATTTCAGTCTAGCAAACATTTCCAGCTAGAACTGTGTAAATACAATGTGTATTATACTTTGACACTATACCTGTTGAATGCGTGGTTGAATGTCACGATAATTAAAAGATTACCATTCTGTAATTCTAATCTTTTGATCTAGTGAATTTTAGCCGTCACGGTTCACCGTTCCAGGTGTGAATGACATTTCGTATGAATGATAAACGGGAGTGCGAGTTTGAGACACAGAAAATAAAAAAGATATTAAATTATTTGGGGGAGGAATATGGTGGAATACCTGGATCGCCGTGGTATATTTTTATATTTTGCGTAAGCTCAGTTTAAAATGAATTATGACCGCTGAATATTTTTGTAACAATGAAATACTGAATTAATTTAATTGAATAAATTTATAAATAATAATGGCCCTCTAAAAACGAGTGTATGAACTTAAAAATTGTACTTTATTAAAAAAGAATCGGTAACCTTGAATATTTGAAATAGATAATTATCAATTGCAATTATATAATTTGGTCCGTCCAAAGCCATCTTTATTTACATATTACATCATGTGGATGACTCTTCGACCCATGGTTGTCTAAATTAACGGGGATATTTAATATTGTACATACTATTCTTGTTATTATTACTAGTGTGGTACCAAAAAGCAGAAAACTCTTCTTAGGGATACAATCACACAGATGGTAAACATATTGGACAATCCCGTGCTAATATTTGCATTGATAAAACCTTTAATCAATACACATACACATACACACTAAAGGTGAAACACTCTGTACATTATTCAATGACGACAATTAATTAGCCGTAATTAGTAACACTTAATAATGAAATTATCTAAAGAAATTAATTGATTTAATTAATTAATGTCATAAAATCGAAAATGACGTCATAGAAATAAGCCTCACATTGGGAGGCTACCTCTCAGGAGGCTACCTTTTTCCCATAAGGTTAACATTAGCAAAAAGTCGTCAGAACCCCCACTTCCCCCACTACTTTATTTATTTGTAACTCTGTTCTTGCCTACCATTTTGCAAGGAAGGTCTCTCTACAAATAAGTTACCAAGATAATAGACAATTAAACAATAAAACTCATAAGAGCACAAATTGTCCAATTGGGACCTTTCCAATAGAGCATTTTCAGACTGTTTTTCATTACCCCCACCCCCTTGTTTTTTTTTTTAAATCTATTGTAGTTTTTGTAAGATAAACGCAAAAAAAAAAGCCGCCCTTGCAAACTGAATCTCCCCAAACTGTTATCGAACCGTTATCGAGAAATAAAAATTTATTTCAAGGGTTCACAATTTTGGTATGCTTGGAGGGACAAATATTTAAAAAACATTATTTTTTCCTTGTATAAAATGTGTTACAATTCATAACAAGATACTCGAGTCTTTATACAAAATCAATACGAAAAAGCTAGGGCTAACTATTTGGGCATTGCTGTAGATTGTGTATTGCTTAACATTTCAACTGTTTACAGTTTCTACCGAAAATTATTATTGAAAGCCAATTACTCCTACAAGGATTCATCGCCGGAATAAATTTGGTGGAAATAGGAAGTACATGTGGGAATATATCTTGGGATTTTTTAATGAAAAAGTGGTTTATTAATACTATTTCCCGTTGCGTTTCAAAGGAAACTATGTGCTACTGTGACCAGTATCGGCAACCAATCAATAGTAAATGGTTATCGTTGGAAGGCAATCGTGTAGAGTTTCCAAACGTCAGTAGCTTTGCAGTTTCAGTGAAGAGGATTTTTTATTTCAATTTACCGGTCAAATTCAAGGATACACTCTTATTTTTTACCAATCGGAACTAAATGAGGGTCTTTTGTATAAGAATGTAAATACATTATTCTTGCAAAGATTTATCAAAATTGGCTGAGTTGTTTCAGAGAAAAAGGTGAAAATCTAAAAGTGTACGGACGACGTTTGCTTAATGACGAGAAAAGCTCACATGGCCTTACAAGCCTGCATGACAAAAAGCAGTTACTGTTGGAAAACCGGACTAAAAGCACTGTTTCTTTGCTTTTTGTGTGTTTTTGCTGTGCATGTACTGATTTTTTGGGATTGTCTGGTTTTGTCGGATTGATACACACCCTTCAAAAATCTAAAGACTGAAATTTCTTTGGCTAATGTAATAATAACCAGAACAGAAAGTAAAATGGAGTGTAAGCAAAGCTTAGACACGGGATCTGTATTTTAATCAGATTGGTTTGGCACCGACTATTCATCTTTTGTGGGCGGGAGCATGTGTATTTTTTTGGGCTCAGGACAAACATATTTATCGACTTTAATAAAAACATTTATTGAAACATTTTTTTCAACAACAAGATTATGTTTTAAATTCCATTGTTGTTTTATTTTTCCTCTAATTTTCAATGGAAACATGTACACACACACACACACACACACAAAAAGATGAACGGTCGGTACCTTAGCTCTTTTAACAGTTCGGTGCCTTGAGTTTGGAGGTGTATGAAGGCAGTTGCCCACGAAATTTAAGTCCCAAAGACCTCGGGATGTTTGTACGAAGATCCTTGTATGTTGCGGGTAGCTGTCTAGTTGAAGCTGTTATAAAAATGTGAGCAAACGAAATAAAAAAAATTGAGCACAAATGTAATGATTTTTACGTGCAAATGTGAGTGCAAATGTAATGCACCGAGTTGAAGTTTATCCCATATCTCCTTTCATCCATATCGGTATAATTATGCATGCGTAGAAACGTTTACAGCTTATAATATAAAATACTATCAAAAATGACTATAATTTAATTGACATAGAAATACAACTAAAGTTCTTTTAACATATTTTTGCCACAGCAGGGAAATTTTTCAATTAGCTCTTTTTTTAATGGGTATAATTCTTCCTCCGAAATGTTTAAAACGTTGATTTTTGTTAAATTGCACTGTCTCAATTTTTCTATGAAATGCACTGTCTCATTTTTTCTATAACTTGCACTTTCGGAAGTTGACACGAGGCTGGAGCTGCTAGATCAGAAACAGTAAACTGGCATAAAAAAAAACTCCAGCAGAATATTCTCTTGTAGATCAAATATTTGAACTCTAGGTACGCTCGAGGACCCATAATATCAATCTAATTAAAATTCATATCTATATTAACTCACGTGCTCGTACACATATGTGTATATAACGAAATCAAAAAACTAATAATAATGTCTATATTTTAATTAGAGTGTCATAATATCATTTTAACCGTATGTTCATTATTTTATAAACCCATCGATAAAACCTAAACTTTGCAATTCTTATTCTGACCATTTTCCAACAATATCAGATGGGATTTTTCCATCTTTAAAACGATGTAGCAAAGTGCAAAGGTTTATCTCTTTTAAAATCTCATCAATTTTCCAAACGATAGTTACATATTTATACAGATTTATAGTAATCCGGAGAAGCAGATTGGAATCAGATATGACGTAGAGTGTAATCGTTCTAATCGTGAACATGTTTATTGACCAGAACAACGATGAAAGCACATCATATAAGGGAGCTACCATTTGATTTTTATTTTTTTGGGGGGGGGGGGGGGGGCTAGGATGAAATTTGAAAAAAATAGGCAGGACAGGAGTTTTGAGTAAAAAAAAAAGGCAGGATGAGACACTTTGCCAAAAAAAAAAGGCAGGATGACAATTTATGTAAAAAAAAGTCAGGATAAACTAAAAAAAAAAGGTAGGACCGAATAGAGTGAAAAATAAAAAGGCAGGACAGAGATTACAACTAAAAAAAAATGCAGGAAAATTTTTTTCATCCTAGCCCCCCCCCCCCCCCCCTCCCCCCCCACCCCCCCCCCCCCCCCCACCCCCATAAAAATCAAATGGCAGCTCCCTAAGAACGTTTTGACATCATATAATGAAGTAATCCGAACCACATCATATAATGTTACAAGCACATAATATAAAGGCACAACCACATCATATAAAGATGTTTGCACATAATATAAGTATATTTGCACATCATATAAGGATATTTGCACATCATATAAGTATATTTGCACATCATATAAGGATCTTTGGACATCATATAAGCACATTTGCACATCATATAATATATAAAAAAGAAGATGTGGTATGATTGCCAATGAGACAACTCTCCACAAGAGACCAAATGACACAGAAATTAACAACTATAGGTCACCGTACGGCCTTCAACGATGAGCAAAGCACATACTGCACAGTCAGCTATAAAAGGCCCCGAAATGACAATGTAAAACAATTCAAACGAGAAAACTAACGGCCTAATTTATGTACAAAAAATGAACGAAAAACAAATATGTAACACATAAACAAACGACAACCATTGAATTACAGGCTACTGACTTGGGACAGGCACATACATACAGAATGTGGCGGGGTTAAACATGTTAGTACATTTGCACATCATACCGTATAGCGGGTAATTTTCGCGGGGTGTTTATTTTCGCTTAATTTGGCGGATGAAGGAAAATCGAGAAAATAAATTCCGCGAAAATTTATGCATACATTCGGTACATTCTGATAGCTAAAGCGTTTTGTAAACGATCTATGTTTTCCGGTCAACGGGTCAATAACTGTTAGTAATAGTTTAAACAACACGAATGCCATAGGGCATCATTCACATATAATTTATGAAATCGCTGTCAAGTGTTAATTAGTTAATTAGTGTTAAATAATATAAGAATGTAAGGTATTCTGTCAGGTATTTACCCTTTTTAATTAGTGTCAAATTATATAAGCGTTGCAAGTTACTCTTAATAACTTTATAACCTAATAAGTACATCAAAGGTCAATTTCGTAACTAATCAACCGTAACATTTACAAGAAGTTTGTACACCGGTACTCTATTGATTAAAGGTATCAAAATATAATCAATAAATGAGACGTCGTGCAGGAAAAACAATCATTTAACCATAACAATAGACACGTGTTTGTCAATTTTTACAACTTTTTAACTGCAACCATTTCAGATACCGCCAAAATAAAAACCGCCAAAATTTTTCGTATACTTTGTTGCCCCTAAATCGCGAAATTTTACACCCGCTAAAATAACCCGCTATACGGTATAAGTATATTTGCACATCATGTAAGTATATTCGCATATCATATAAATATTTGCACATCATATAAGTACATTTGCACATCATATAAGTATATTTGCACATCATATAAGTATATTTGCACATCACATAATGACAAGTGCACATCATATAAAGGTAAATGCACATCATACATCATATAATGAAAATGGGCATAATAAGGCAGTTTTGGCGTTCCATAGATTATGTTTTAGGTTAAATTTGTTGTGTGCACAAAATAGGAAACATAGTCTTGCCTACAATTACAGGAGCTGAAAATTTAATGGAAAACAACTTTATGATAAAAAAGACCATGCGAAGACGGTGTGCACAAAGTTGAAGGCAACAGTAAAATGCGCTTTTAAAAGTAGTTTCATACAACCGTGTTTAAAATATCTTTTAAATATGAAGTTTTATTATGATAAAATAATGAATGCTAGTCATTAAAATCCACATTACTGATAAAGTTATCAAAATTAAATCTATAAAGTATGAAACGAACATAGAGAAAACGGCAAAATTATGTGAAACTTGTAACATAAAATAAGCATAAAATAGAGTTTTGGAATTTATACAAATTCAACATATTTTCCCGCATTTTCGTATAATAGAATTTTTCGGATTCGGATTATGACGTCATACGAAATTCACCGCAAAAAAATTAAAGAACGGCCATGGCGGATGAGTTTGAAATGTAGTTCGTTATGTGTAAGAAGTAGTAATTTGGAAGGATTAATATTCGAAAATGGAAGAATCGATAGGAAAAAATATTTAATTGCTATTTTTTATTTCAAAATAACTTGATATTCCAAATGTGCATAACAAGAGGTTTAAAAAAATCTGCAAAATATGAATGATTCGATAGTCCAGGCTGAACACCTGAATTTTTTTAATGTCCAGCTATTATGTTACAATTTAAAGAAATGACGTTTAAACGCTATTTTCTGAATAGGGTCCACGACATAGTCGCTTATTATTTCCATTACACTGCTCTTAGCATATATTTATTTATATTTCCAGAATGTGCATATGCTGCAGTTTGTTGTTAAAAAAAAAGAAATATGTTGAACGTTTATGTTTAAAGCTACGTGATAAACTAAGTGTCCAGTGTTTTTGTTACGCGTTTGTTTTCTGGGGGAAAATGCCGACGTCGTAAATGATTGAAGTAATTTAAAGACGTACTACGTTTGTTGACTCAGCTTTGTGCACGCCGTCGATTCAGTAATCGTATTGACAATCGAAAAATTATTTATGGAATTGTTTTTAAGAACACACAAAAGTGACTTAATAATCTTCATAACATGCAAGGAGTGAATAAGAAAATTATTCATACCCAGTGTCTCCCTTCCTACTGACAGATTGGGTAATGCTGACGTGAATCAGGACAACTACGGACCCCTCAAATGGTTGTTGCAAGGGTTCTTAACGTGCAGAGAGCGTGGATCACTCTTTAAACGAGGCATCGGATTTAACGTACCCATTCTGACCGGACGTGGCTGCGTACATGTACATCTCGCACAGCCAAACGGACGCTCCAGGGTTTTACTGCCAGTCGGAAGAAGACCTATAGTGACCATATTTCTATTCCCCAATCACCCTTGGGATGATGACGTTACGAAAAGTATTTAAAAATATTTAAGACGCCAGAGGCGAAATACGACAATAGACAAATAACAGTATACAAAAGACTACGTGGAAAATTTGAGACTGAGCAGCACAAACCGCACCAAAATCGGAGGGTGATCTCAGCTGATCGGGACGGATATTTATATTCTGCTTCACATGTGGCAGCCATTTTTTACAAATTCGGTTAAAAGTGGTGATGTCGCAATCAAGGAAAACAACATGAAATGTTGAGTACGAGAACATATCCGTCAGCAGCTATGACAGAGATATTTCATAACAGTAAACAATTGTAATTCGTTCAAATGTCGATTGGATGACTTCGACTTACAAACGTTGAATCTCTCGTTCAATAGATTCCATAAAACGACATCATAATAAGGAACGCAAGCTCTGGGTTGTTATTTCAATTGGGAAATCTACACTCCATAAACAGAATCTGCACAGAAAAGGAAAGTTCATAATTGGGAATTGAAAGCATTTCTTATGTCATAAAGCTTTGTTTTGAACCGAGCTCATTTTGAATTTTGAATTAAATATGTAAGTTGAGATATAAAATAGTAATCCAAAATTTGATATATTGAACTCCAAGACAAATTTAAAAGGAGGAGTCAATAATAAAAACTGACAAAATCAAACGTTATCAGCAAACTGAACGAGTGAAAACAACTGTCATATTCGTTACTTTAATAGTACATGCATTTTACGAAACAAATGATAAGATGGACCTGGGTTTATAGCTAGCTAAACCTCTAACAAACACTGACTTTATTATTTCTATCCTTTTCTTTATTTCAAGTTCAATGAAATAGATGTTGTCAGCATGGCAGGCAACCTTTAATGATTTAGAGAGATGACATCATCTTTATAGCAGAACTTGATATTAAATTATAATGCTAGCTTCTTTTAATTCTGAGAAGCTCCTGCATTGCGTATTTCTCACTTGGACAAAGGAACTAGTTTTGAAATAGAGAGGAACCTACTTGGTTACTCCAAATAGAAACAAATATGTAGTGAATTTAAAAAATCATTCGTTTTCATGATGTCAGTTTCGGAGTAAATTGTTTTGTATCAAGAGTGGATATTTTTAAGAAACAATGTTTTATTATATCATTAAGTCGTCTTAATGTATTCTTTCCCAAAACAAGATAATTGTATCTAATATAAAATAAGGAAATGTGGTATGATTGTCTACCAGAGTTGACCAGAATTTTTATGAACCAAAGTTTTTTTCAAATCTCTCATTATTATTATTATCACTATTTTGTAACATTTTGCTATTTGTGACAAGTTTCGATAATTAGCTACTTGACTCAACATCCCCCCCCCCCCCCTAAGTCTATTAGAGCAAGGAAACGACGACGTCATGACCCTGTCGGGGCTTTTAAATCTTTACCGGGAAAAGGGAGTGGTTTCTCGAGAAGGGAAATTGAATCTTTTCCTTTGCATTTTTTATTTTGGAAATCTACAAATGTTTTTTCTACGTACGAGGGAGCTCTCTTTATAATCTATGTGTTTATACGATGTTTTACCACGACTTATAAAATTTGTTATTACAATTTTTAAACGTTATCACGAATTATAAAGTATAAATGTGATTACGAATTTAAAATTGTTTAACTAAATAAGGATATTCGTTTGTGATACGATTAAAATGTGTGAATTCAAATTTAAATATATATTTTTGGATGGTCCATATGGGCTTCTGTAGTTCTTTGAGCTTTTTTAATTCATTCATGGAATAACAGAAGGTCGTGCTAAGTTCATTGATACTGCAATTTGTAAAAAAATAATAATTGTCAGTCTTTTGATAATGTCAGACAAACACATTGATAAATAGTGCATACTTATCTATTAAGCATTTGTTTCTATTGTTCATCATGTGAGAACTGTCTAAAGTATGAAGCAAAATCTACAGTTTCCAATGATCTACATATCAACATAAGTACAGCCATAATTAATATAATAAAAGCAACTGCATGAAGATAACACCAAAAATATTCCTTAACTTACATTAACTTGTAATAACTACTGACTAAATGAAATTTTCTTGCATTCACATCTTCATATCGCCTTAGGTAATTTTTATACAAATTACCTGCTTTTAAATTAATTTACTGCTAGAGCAAATTTTCAGAGATATTTTTCATTAACATTTAAGTTCCATGAGTTGAAAAATAGTTACCATCAAAAGAATCCAAGAAATTGAATCCATATATTTGCCAGTAAGGAATATACATGATCTTCCATATTCTCCAGTATGTCCATCCTGCTGAATTCCACATATCCTTGTGCTTTGGATACATATTAGCATGATAAAGCACACCAACTCCCATCATAAATACCAAAAGAATTCCTATAAATCTAAGCAGTTCTTTCACCTGGTAATAATTAACATTTTTAAAAAAAGATCATACAGTTAAGCAGAATTTTCTTGTTTTGCAAATTGATATTTAATGAAGCTTTCTGAAATGATATCAACATGTGAACATGCTTTGGATGGCTCAGCAAATGTTGAATTACATTTTTAAATTCTGTAAGAAAGTACAAAACATTAGAATTTAATAGCAAAGGGACTGTCACAAGGAAGCTATTAAACCAAGAGTTCCAAATGGTGAAGTTGAGATCATCTATTCGTAAATTTTACGGACGCCATCACGAGTTGGTTGACCGTTATGGAATAACCGTTTCACAGATGATATAGAATATGTTCCTTATGTCGTAATTGCAATCCACTTCCTTTCACAACGAATGTGACCTACCGAATTAGACTATTTACCGGATTTGTAATAACATGAGCAAAACGACGGGGGCCACATGTGGAACAGGGTCTGCTTACTCTTCCGGAGCACCTGAGATAACCCCCAGTTTTGGTGGGGTTCGTGTTGCCTAGTCTTTAGTTTTCTATGTTGTGTCTTGAGTACTATTATTTGTCTGTTTGTCTTTTTATTTTTTTAGCCATTGCGTTATCAGTTTATTTTCGATCTATGAGTTTGACTGTCCCTCTGGTATCTTTCGCCCCTCTTTTTTTAAACATAATGTAAATTATGTTCCGTCTTTCATCTGCCCAGGTCTCCGATTATGTATGATAAATGCCTATACTTTTTACTAGTATCACACCAAACGTTGGCTTATCAGCCTCCTTTTTCAAAATCCTGGATCCGCACCTGTTTACTGCATTTACACACCAAAAAATCGATTATGCATATACAAAACTTTAACACTAGAAAAATTTCAATTGTAGCAGCAAGAAATATTTCTTTTCAATGGTGTCGTTGATATTTCGTGTTCGATACATACATCTTTTTGTTTAAATAACAGCATTTAAAAATTAAAAGATCTGGTATGATTGCCAATGAGACAGCTCTCCACCAGTGACCAAATAACACAGAAGTTAACAGCTATAGGTAACCATACGGCCTTCAACAATTAGTAAAACCAATACCGCATAGTCAGCTATAAAAGGCCCAGTAATGAAAAATGTAAGACAATTCAATCGAGAAAACTAACGGCCTAATTTATGTACAAAACAATGAATGAAAAACAAATATAATAGGTAGCAACAAACAATGACCACTGAATTTCAGGATCCTGACTTGGGTCAGGCAAATACATAATGTGGCGAGGTTAAACATGTTTGAAAGCTTCAACCATCCACTAACCTGGGACAGTGGTGAAACGGCACAACACAATAACAAACTAATTATGCAAACACTTAACGATATTTTTTTTAATTTAAGTTTCATATGGAGACATACATTATCTAACATTGTATTCTCGGAAGTCCATGATAAACTTATTTCATCAAACGATACTTCGTAAAATGTCATCCTAACAACTTTACTACGAAGGTTCAATTTTAAACTTATTTAACAAAAAATCAAAACATTGAAACTTATCCGAAATGTTGACACATATCATAAACTAAATTTAATGTATGAAAGTACCCGTAAGGTTGCAAATATCAGACTTAAGAAAAATGTGCATTCTAATAGATAGGAAAATACATAAAACCTATATAGATAAAAGATATACATATGGTGACTAACATATATGATTAAATATAGGCATCACTAGTTAACCAGATCACCTGGGATCACCCCCGGCTTATGAGTTGGAATATCACTTTTGTAATCTTCTGTATTTCTTTTACCGATGTTTCAAATTTCATAAATCGGTTAGGAAGACAGTTTAAGTTATCAACGAACAAGAACTGCAATACGAATGACACCATGTGCGTCGACAGTGTTAGCTCCGTATTCTGTGCATGAGTCACCCGTCATGCTAATGCACATCTAACACAATGTCACAATTGGGAAACGGACAATGAAAGCTTATCCTTGAAAACAAGAAACATACGATTTCATCTTAATAACACCAGGATTTATTCAATGTACACAACGGACAAATTAATTATCGCCATATAATCTCTATTATCACAGTTAAAGATGAAAATATATTTAGGAGCAAGAAATGCAGTAAATAGACTTATTTGTTAGAAGAAATTTGGAAATTAGATGAACATATCTCAACGGATGATATTTTAATAGACTTTAATATACATTGAAGAAAATCCAATTTTTAAATACGAAAATCAATGTTTAGAAAATAATTATGACGGTGTTCAATAGATATAAGAAGATGTGGTATGAGATAACTCTCCATCCAAGTCACAATTTGTAAAAGTAAACCATTATAAGTCAAAGTACGGCCTTCAACACAGAGCCTTGGCTCACACCGAACAGCAAGCTATAAAGATCCCCAAACATGACTAGTGTAAAACCATTCAAACAGGAAAACCAAAGGTCTAATCTATATAAAAAACGAGAAACGAGAAACACTTATGAACCACAACACTTATGAACCACATCCACAAACGACAACCACTGAACATCAGGTTCCTGACTTAAGACAGATGCAAATAAATGTAGCGGGTTTAAACGTTTTAATAGGCGCCAAACTTGAAAAAATAGTGTAACATCACAACATAGAAAGACACACTATAAAATATCAATTGAAATGGCTTAACTCAATAGTTCAATGTTGTATTGTAGGGTTTTGTAGGATGTTGGTTAATTTCACTGATAAATTGTTCGTTGCATACGTACAAAAATAAGATTTAATTACAGAGTATTTCCTTTTCCTTTGCACCATTATATTCCAAGTGATGGACTTCCATCTTCAGTTTAAAAAGTTTACTGCAGGGAAATTCTGGTAGATTTGTTAGGGAGTATTCTTTTTGGTTTATAGCTCTTCATATTTTGAATAGCTTTGGATTTTCAAATATTTTGGCCTCGAGCATCACTGAAGAGTAATTGATTGTCGAAATGCGCATCTGGTGCAGAAAAAGTGGTACCGTTTATGTTATTGCGTTAAAATCATTTAGAAGCGAGATCGTGTTCGTAAAAATTTTAAAAGATGAGTCGAGGGAACAGTCAAACAAAACCTTCTTTTGAGCATGGGTCCACTGCAAGGTTTCTATATGTGTACACCTTCGTCAATGCTTGAGCAAAGGTATTTTCGGCGAGCAAATTACATTTCTGCTTTTTGAGTTCCCATGAAAGGCAATTGTTAGGTTAATTTGGCATTCAATTGGCTTTCCGAAACCGCGATTACTCTTCGATGAGTTTAGTATTGTTGTTGTTAGTTTTGAGTGTTTGTGGGAGGGGATCAGGATCTTCATTTCAGTTGGTTTTCGATTTACAAAGATCTAATATGTCATTCATATAACCATTGCTATGTTCATCAACATAATGTTGTGTTTGTACACCATTTTGTCATGTTGTTTTGAGAGGGTTTAGAAAGAACAATCATGTTTAATTCCATCCTATTCTATTTATGCCTGTCTAAAGGTAGCCTGTATTCCAGTAATCGTTTCTTATGTTGATACATATATGTGTTGCTGGAGTGAAAAAAATATAAAAAATTAAAATTTCCATGATATGAGATAAAGATACGTACCATTTCCTTGATCATGATAATTTTTGGTCCTAGTTTCCGTTCTACCAATATGATATGAAGAAATCTCATGTACATTGTAAAGAGACCGAGACTGTAAAATCGTCTTGTTAGGTTATTTGTGATCGTTGGCTTTAAAAAGCGTATAAAGATAGCTGTCACTGTCAGGATGTATGATGTGACATCAAGAATGTTCCAAAAGTTGTACAAGTAATTCTTTACTCTATACAACCAGGAATGTCTTAAAAGACTTTTTGATTCATTGTTCTCTGATAAATCTGTTGGAAATTTTGGTTCTTTCAAAACCTATAAAAGAAACATAATTTCTATGATGCAAACTGAAGAAAAAACGTTTAATTTCCAATAACCGACATAATATATACAAACATAATTTCTATGATGCAAACAGAAGAAAAAACGTTTAATTTCCAATAACCGACTAGATCAGAGGAATAATTTAATATATAGAAACCCGTTCGACCAAGTCTCGGCTTATACTTATCCAATTTATAACTCCTTTTTTTTCTAAGACTTTTCTATCGTGACAACTTTTCTATCATGACAATATCGTGATTCATGTGTTTGTCCAGCACATTATCATAAAAAGATTAAAGAATTCTGACAAACGAATGTTTTTGCAAATATTCACATTTTAATTATCAAAACGATCAAATTGTGTTTTAATGTAGCAACTTGGTGATACATATGATACCAATAAAGTTATAATGTCACGTTTCCCATGGTAAACTTCCAATTTACAATAAGACATACACCTTCTCTTCTGTGTATAGTGTCAACTGTTGATTGATACATTACGCATGTGCATGTTCACATTATATGAAGTTCATTTTCGAGGTTGTGCTTCAACAGCTGTTGTAAGGAAGAACGACTGAAATCAGCAGTTCACAAGTGTACCGGTTATAAACAAGTCGAGTTGATTCTCATGTACGCTGTATATGTGTATCAACTTACTAGAGATGCTTTAATGGTGTTAGAATTGAAGATATGATAAGAGCCTTCTGATCTCTACTTTTCCGGTTAGGCCCTATCTCTTTTCGAGATGTCTTTGGGCTTGATTCGAATTGCGGTGATGCAAGCATAGAAAAGACGCATGATGAAAACATAATCTTTCAATCAGTGTAATTGAAGTCTGGAGCTGGCATTTCAGTAACTGCTTATAGTCCTTTGTTAATTATGTTTTGCTTAGTTTCTTCTGATGCCTGTTCTAACATCGGACTCAGACTTCTTTTGAACTGAGTTTTACTGTGTGTTTTGCTGTTTATTCCATAGTGGCTAGAGGTATAAGGAGAGGATTGAGATCTCATAAAACATGTTTAAACCCGACGTTTTTTTGCGCCTGTCCCAGGTCCGGAATCTTTGTTTCGTTTAATTTTGGTTCATTTGTATACAACTGTATAAGAGTATGTGACGTCCATTTGACTAAACTAGTATACATTATTGTAAGGCCAGTTAAATCCCGCCTCTGGATGCGGGATTTTCTTGCTGCGTGGAAGACCAGTTGGTGACATTGGGCTGTTTTTTTTTTCTCTCTCTTTTGTTGTGTTGTTGTCGCTGATTTATTCAAAGTTCCACATAAACCGTCTCTAGTATTCTGTACTTCATGGTTTAGATTTGGAAATCAGCCGACCTTTGGTCTAAATATTATTTAAGAAATTTGTTTGTTTTAATAAAAGTGATCTCTTGGATTGTAAATGATAACAAAAGGAAAACCTTATATTATCAATGTGTCTCCTTTCGAATTGTCTCCTCTTCGAGATTAAAAAGTTCTGACATCAACGTCATCAGAACTGAGTGTCCCCAACAATCGCGTACATTTATCTGTCTAAAGTTTCAAGTGTACGGCCAAATGTGCGAAGAATTTAAATATATTTTTGGTCTGAAAATAAGCTTAACACTGTTAACACTATTTTCCCATTTAACTGTGCTTGTATGTATGAAAAAAGTAAAATCACAAAAATACCGAACTACGAGGAAAATTCAAAAAGGAAAGTCCCTAATCAAATAGCAAAATCAAAAGCTCAAACACATCAAACGAATGGATAACAACTGTCATATTCCTGACTTGGTACAGGCATTTTCTTATGTAGAAAATGGTGGACTAAACCTGGTTTTAAAGCTAACTAAACCTCTCACTTGTATGACAGTCGCATCAAATTCCATTATATTGACAACGATGTGTGAACAAAACAAACAGACACAATAGGTAAACATGTTACAAACAGGGGTACAACAGGAACACGAACCCCACCAAAAACTGGGGGTGAAATTAAACTCATCATAAGTAAGTAGGCTTAAAATGTTGTCTACAAAAGACTCGAAATAAAAAAGTTATAAACGCGAAATAAAATACGACGTTGAAGAGCATTGAGGATCCAAATTTCCAAAAGGTTTGGAAATGCGACAATTGTATAGGATGCAGCCCCTGACACCCCTCGATAAATTTGGCTCAATCGCGTGATGGCTTTCCTCGTTAGCCAATTTATTAATTGTTTTGATTGTAAAACGTGGTGGCATGTAGATTAAACGTTCAATGGGCCATAATCCCAGAAACACACGATGGAATTGTATATACTATATACATATACATATACAACTGCATATTAGGATCCAACAATAAGGCCAACGTCCATGTAGACATAAATAAGCGCGAAGGAGGGGTTTGGGTGGTAAAGTAGATGCTGGACAGTGCCAACATTTGTGAGCTCAAAGATATCTCTTTTAAAAGGATGCATCTCTCAAGAAAACACAATAAGGTTGGGTATCAGACATATGTGCACATCTGTAACTAAGAAATCATACCATTAATGCAAATCTGCATATAATTACAATCTAACACTGTACTTCGTGTCGTGTAGATACGATAAACCATGTAGGAGGAAGGAATGACAATATCAGTTATGAAGTTGATCTGGACAGACGGGAAGTGTGGCTAAAGAAGATTTTAGTATCATTTTTTTTCATATAAGAGGCAAGCTGATAAGTCATTTTCCAATATCTTGTTGTTCGAAAAATGAGCCACGAAAGCGCAAGAAAATGAATTATTTGGGACTATATTTGCATATAAGAATATTAACAAATAATTAGCTATCCGGCTGATTCCTGTATTCCCCTAATCATTGTTTCCGGGAGTATAAATACAGATGTTAATAATGGGAATTTAATTTACCACATGTCGATACTGTTCAAGTACATCTCCAAGCAAGTGTATGTAGACAATCCATTCATACATTTCAACAGATTGTATTCCATCAATAAAGTCAAGTTCTGTCAAAAGGAATGCACTGTAGCACACCATAGCAACAAAAAAGAAAGCCTAAATATCAATTATAAAGTATTATTATTTCAGATAATGTGTTGAATAATCATATGATATAAGTAACAGGTTTCAAACAAACTGCACTCAAAAGTATTCCTATCGATTTTTTTTATTTCTTTAACCTGCATCTGAAACACGATTTAGGGTTATTGTAAAAGAAATATTTCATAAGAATGCATGATAAATATATATATGGAACACATTTAATCATATGAAACTGCTTTTGTGCATAAAAATGTGTTTCTTTGATTATTGTAATTTATTTTATTTCACTTGAACCTGTCATATCACTACTAGATTTGGCTTTGGATTAATATGACACGTGTTGCCTAGCAAGAGTTGCTTCTGTCGCAGATTCCATAAGGACTTTAACGTTTTCATTTGCACGTCTCACTGTCAATACTAGAAATTTTGATATTTCAACAGATCAGCGGTATACTTTCAAGCTGTAAAATTTGATTCAATTGCAATCCTGTAAATTAAAGCACATTGCTACTTAATAGTTTCAGATAAAAAGAATAAACAAGTAGAACCAATTTAAACATTATTCACAAATCAATAGGGACAAAAATGTATTAAAACAACTATTCGATACCAGGCCTATAAATTGGTACTACGGACGAGTGTTTCGTGTTCAAAGAACACGCTATTGACTCTCGATTCAGATGAAAGGTCAAATCAAATTAGAAGATACAGAGATTTAGAAACCGAAACTTCGGAAGATCTGTTATCAATACGGCTAAAGATATCTATGCCTTAGGGTATAAACGGAGTTTATTTCCGTTACTTAATCTTGTAATTTTGTTGACTAATCAATAGATTCAAACATCAAATACATATGTCTTACATTTTTGCATAATGAATCAAAAATAATAATAATTTAGGTTTTACTCACATAATGTAGACCGAACCTTGCCAATGGCGAACAAATGAATTGGCGAAGTTGGCGAAGTCTGCGAAGTCTACATTCATTTTTTGTCGTAAAACAGAAACAACAACCAGTCAACAATCCTTTCTACAATAATTTAAACATAAAAGAGTAACATAAGAATTAAACCCCTTCTTTGATTATCATGAGAATATAGATTACACGTTTTCTCAATGTGTGTCTATTAACAAACAAAATGTATCACGTCAAATAAAATAATGCCGGAAGTTACCAAAGGGAAATTCAACTTGTGTGTTGTTTGCATTGATATTGTCATTTTTAAGTTAACTCTTTTCTTTTTTTGTATTAGTTGTATTCTTATATATACCTTTTATTAGCCCATTGATCGAAATATTAAAATGACCTTCTCCCATCAAAAGTCATTTGTTCTGTCTCAATACAGGAACCTAGTGTAAATGACTTTTCGGAATGTTTTATTTAAAGAATTTACAGCAGATCTTTGATAGTATCTGCTAACAACTTAAAAAATTTCTTCAAAATTATCAAATTATTAAAAAAATATTTAATTCTTGATTTGAATGAAAGGAGACGTTAAGTACATATATACAGTGCAGACACTAACATGAGACGCCTTCTATGCAGTGCAGTAGTTTCTAATGTTACTATATATACAATTTTTACTTTTGATGAAGTTGACATTATGATTTATCAATCCCTTTTATATAATATTCACCGAGGCCAATGACCGAGGCTGAATGTCAAATATATTGGGTTGATAAATCATTACATCAACTGATAACAAAATTCAATAATTGTTTTTATGACTTTTTATCCACCTCCAATTTTCTAGCTCTCGCTTAAGATATCAATTTGTTCCTTTTTTATACTCAATATATTATCTGCTTTGGCAGTTGCTAACTTTTAAAAGTTGAAACATTCAATTAAATGTATGAAAAGAAGAAAAGAAAAAAAAAAGAAAATATGCATGACGTCATAAACCTACGTCATTGATGTTACCTATAGAAAATAACTATAAAGGTACATGAGAGGTGTACCAAGTCTTATATTCAACATGCATGATTGTTACAGCGGTGAATAAAATAGTTACAAAAGAAGATTTTCTATGCTTTATGTCAGTGAAAAAAAGAATTTTTTTTAGTCATGTTATATAAGAAAAAAACCATAACCATCTAGAACAAATGGCCATTGACCAATTCACTAAAGCAGTTAAACGATAAATATAAAGCAATTCAGTATGGAACCTTAGTGTCATTGTTGTAGCACTAAGGGGTTGTAATATTAGTGCAATAATATTATCTGAATTTAGATAAAAAAAAAAATACAAGCATATGTGTCCACAGGCCGACATTTCCTTCGCACTTTCAAATTTTAATGTTCAGTGTTTCGAAATTTTTTTTTCAAATCCCAATTTGTAATATATTTTTAGTTTCAAGTTGATATACAACTTTATGGTAAATTATCTCACTTCAAAACCTTAGCCTCTATACGGGACGGATACACAGACCTGAACACATATTGTGACCTCTTGACATCCTTAATAACAGCAGGAAAACACAATTTGTTAAAAGAAATTGTAATAAAAACTAAAATCAATACACTTCTAGAAAGAAAAGACGCTTATAGTCCATCCTTTAAGATGTTTAATCAAATTTTCTATATAGAATACTTCGTTTATCTACCAACACTGACACATACGATGGTTTGATTTCAAAGAGTTAAAAATGTATATTTCAACTGTATAAAATTACTTACCTTTAACACACCTTTAAATGACCCACCAATGTCATTGTACCATATCTTGTTTAATCGTCTCTGACAACAGGATTGCGAAATAAAATCAAGCATCATATTTTCGTGTGCGCACTCCAGAGGGCTGATTGTTATGTCCCAAACAGTAAAATCAGTCACAACTAGTTCCATTGTAAGTGCAGCATTTTCCTCATATAATTTTGATTGAAGGTACACACTTCTTTCTTCGTAAATCCTTGGAGCCAATAAAAATTATATGAATTGATACCACTAGGTTTTAATTTTTTATAAATTGTACGAGCCCTAATGTAAAAAACATATTTTCCTTTGATAGACATTAACAATTTACATTAAGAAGAAATGACTGCTTATATTAGGACAAAATGTATATCAAAGTGATGAACATGAAATGAGAACCATCAAGTAAAGATGGAATAGAAATCGGATGTAGAGAAAAGATAACAAGTTTAGAGTGTATCTATACTGAAAGTTGGATAGTGTCTGAATAACCTCAGCATTAGGACATCGTTTTGGTCAAATTCTTCATGCTCGCTTAAGAATGGATTCAAGTTCATTGAATTTTCACCTATTCGTTCGTAATTTAGTAGACTCTCCAAATTGTCGGTGTGGTGATGTAGAAACAAATTCTCACTTCCTGTTATCTTGTCCCATATACACTGATTTAAGACATGAACTATTAGATTCTGTTTCAGTTCTTCCTGTCCAAGTTAACACAAAAACTTTGCTTTTTGGATCAACGGTACTCTCAGATGAGCAAAATAGTCTTTTATTTAGTTTGGTGCAGAAATATATTATTAAAAGTAAACGTTTTAACCCTTGAAGTTAATGCTTCATCATTCAATAGGAACCCAAGCATTTCACACTGTATACATTACAATAATTCATGTTTATTTATTTATTTATTTTTTTCTCATTAATTAATTTTTTTTTTCTTCTTCTTCTTTCACCTTTTTCATATTTATATATTTATTACAGAGCATGCCAGTATTTATATTTATGTATTGTCCAATAAGTGTATTATTTTTTGTAAAAGGAGACAGATTTGTAAAAGCAAATTGCTTGTTCCTGAATCCTTAATATTATTTCATTTGTATAATATCGTTTAATGTTGATTTATCTGAATAAATATTGTTTAAACTAACCTCAGCATCCACCACCAACGTACTTCTCAACGATTGATGGTGGAAGGTATTTGTCATGAAAGGGTTTTGACGGTATTTCTTTTTCTATACTTCATAAAGCATATCAATTTTATTATAGATGATTCCAATTGTTATTTTAAAATGTAAGAGATATCAAAAACAGGTTGCACTGGAAGTGACGATTTTCGGCAGTCCGTTTAGGTTATAAAATGGAATGAAATGTATTAAAGTAATGAATGAAATATATACACCTCGTTGGGAATAGGATCATTTCAATCCGCAAATAAACGGTACGTTTTATTATTACGGCCCGTTTACCAGTTACAAGGAAGCTATTAAACTAAGATAACATTGAGAATGGAAATGGGGAATATGTGAAAGAGACAACAACCCGACCAGTGAGCAGAAAACAGCCGAAAGCCACCACGTGGTTAAGATGAAATCATCCCTTCGAAAATGTTATGGACGACATCACGAATTATTTGACGGTTAGAAAAAAAAGAATTAGTTGACGGTTATGGAATATCTGGTTTACAGATTACGACGGATGTGTTCCAAATGTCGTAACCATAATTCCGGTCTCATTTCCTCGAATATGACCAATCGAATTAGACTTATCCCCGGTTTTGTAATTACATGAGCAACACGACGAGCAGGATAGGCACCTGATATCAACCCCGTTTTTTATGATGTTCGTTTTGCTCGGTTTTAGCTTTCTATGTTGTGTTTTGTATACTTTTTTTCTTTGGATAGTTTTCCAGTCTTTGTCTTTGCCTTGCTTTCAACTTATGCGTTTGAATATCCCTTTATTTCGCCACTCTTTTATATCTTGATCAAATCAACTTCCAATTTATCAGCAGGCACATACCCTCTTCTCCATGGCATGCGTTAAATATTTTAGTTAATACGTTGAGCTCGTGCATTTTTACCTTATACAGACCTCATACAACAGTGGTGTACAAACTTATACAAACACTGCTCCAACAAAGTTATGAGAAAGAACAACAGAAATCTACAATTTACAAGAGTTACGGCCACCATCACAAATTAGTTGACGGATACGAGTTGTCGGTATCTCAATCGTTAGCGATATGTTTTCACTGTCTTTCAACCAGGTTTACCAGTATAGTCTTCTACTCTGTATTTTTACCAATTTTGTTTTAATCCCGATTGTGGATTTCAAATGGATCTGTCAGATTTCAGCAGCGGTAAATTACTGTTGCCTCAAATTTAAATAAATAAGCATTGTTTTCAATATTATATATATTCAACTCCTAGTGGTTGTCGCTTCAAAACGCAAAAAAATGAAAGAGATGTACAGCGCTTATACTTGTGTGTAAAATGTCAATTAGTTTTCGCACATGTCTAGTAAAGAAAGGAGAAAGATAGCAAAGGGAGATCCAAAGTCGAAAACAAACTGACAATGTCATGCAAAAAACAAAAAACGACGAAAAGACAAATGACAGTACACAAAACACAAAACACAACATCGAAAACAAAAGACTGAGCAACACGAACCCCATCAAAAGATGAGGGTGATTTCAGGTGATCCAAAATTGTAATCAGATTCTGCTCAATTAGTAGCATCAGTTGTGTTGCATATGTAATCTGTGTACTAGTATTTCTTTATGATCCCTGACTATTTTCTTACCTGGCCTGTTTTATCATATCAACATATCGTGACTGATCTTTTGTGCTTTTGACTTTGTAAGCCATTTTACTGTATAGACAACTAGCAAGTAGGGCGCAAACTGAAATAAATATATAGGTAATGAAATATCTATGTTTACCTTTACGTATTGTAATGATCATGATGGTTACAAACATAGAACATTGTTGCAAATCAAGTGGATTCTGATCTTGAATGAAGTATTGATATTATTAGGATCCCAAACCTTTTAAAAATAAAACATGCTTCAGGAAGATACAATCATTATCATTTATCAACAATTTACAACACTTTTAAAATTAACGTTTTTCTTTAGTTCGTATTGGTCAATGAACAAAAGTCAAACACTGTCGTGTAATAGATTTAATTTGTGATGAAATACGAGTTGTTCAATCAAGATTGTAGTGCTAACTTATATAAAATATGGATCACTCTTTTATTATTTTGAATGAGGTAGCAATACACAGTTAAATAAAGGCAACAGTAGTATACCGCTGTTCGAAATTCATAAATCGATTGAGAAAAAACAAATCCGGGTTACAAACTAAAACTGAGGGAAACACATTAAATATAAGAGGAGAAATACGACACAGAAACACAAAATTAAAATGTAACACACACAGAAACGAACTATAATATAGCAATGGCCATTTTCCTGACTTGGTACAGGACATTTTAAGAAAAAAATGGTGGGTTGAACCTGGTTTTGTGGCTAACCAAACCTCGCACTTTTATGGCAATGTTAAAAGTGTGGTGCCGCATTTTGGCTTCAACGAATGTTTCACATATGCAACTTATTGTGCAGTAAAATCACTTTTCTTGATAGCTGAATCCTCAAAACTGGGTTATATGATCATCAAGGTTGTTTAAGATATGTTTAATGGGCTAATTTGCGTTTGACTAATCGCATTTTCATATTCATATTTGATATAGCTCCAGAACTTTTTTTAAATTAACATGATTACTTACACTATTTATCCAACACATTGTGTGTCCGAACAAGGTAACGATTTCAAGTCTATGTGTTGTTCGTTTTGTCTTTTTTTGGGTATTTATTTTGGTGATGTATTCAAATTTGGTGAGATACATTGCACTGTTAAATATTTTTTAAATTCCTATTATCCTCTTCTATTTTATTTGAAAATTGAAACACGTACACGTATTAATAAAAGATTCAATAACTCTTCTGTAAAATGTATTTATTAGTAAGATTTGTTTTACCATATTTGCATATCTAACAGACTAGGTTTTTAAAAACTTAATGAATAAAAATGACGTGAAAATGAAAAGAGTAAATCAAGAATGACTTACGCAATTGATTTTGAGATTTCATCCAGAAAATCGAAGCCAGATTTGGTCTGTTTTCCAGAATTGCCCAAAGCAACAAATCTTCATATAAACAATCAACCTCCCATTCTATTGTGGTACCTGTACATAAAAAGTGATTACGTAAGAAAATAAAGGAATTGTTTCGAAACAGAAATCTGATTTATCGTTGTTTGCTAAACGTCCGTTGGCAAGTAAAAAACACATTTTGCAAGTATTTTTCGGATAAGAGACCGGTCATGGTTAATTAATTACATGTAGCTGGTAGGTGTGCACGAGGATAAAAGCTTATGTGAAGGGTTACTGCCAGTCACCTAACGTCAAAACCGTAGCACTACGAAAAGTGTATACGCAAGTCAATGTAGTCCAAACCAAAAAGATAGATCTAAATATCTAAAAGGAAACATAATTGAGCATGTATGTGCGGTAAAATAATTTGCAATAAATTCATAGAATTGAATGCAAGGTTTCGAGATTAGCAATAGAATAGCCTGTGATTTACAAGTAAGAATAATTCCGGCAAAAAATTTAGATTAAAATCGACGATGTTATTTTATGCCACGTGACTCAGTTAGTGCTTATATAGTCTCTATAATGTGCATTTTTTGTACTTTAATTTTAACCTAAGGTTTCAGATATTCCGTTTTTATCTTTTGATTATCCTCTTTGTATGACGTTGAAAATTACTGTTTATTGGAAATATTTTTAAAAAATACCTTTAACAATCATAGCAGGCAAAATGAAAGGTGACTGCAGGTCACATTTACATAGCACCAACTTTTAAAATGTTGTAGATCTGTTCACGTAGGCCTAAGGGTATCATGGATTTGCAATTATTTATATGAGGGACAAGGGGGAAATTGATAGGCAAGAATGAATCAGACATGTCTTAAGATGGTTAAAGGACATGTCATAGTCATAAGATCTGTATTCGAAAGGGTCTCAAGTCATGATATTCATAACTTTTATCATACACTCAAGACACCTCGCGACATGACTTATGATGGTCTTATGATTGTCATAAATGTTACGACATCACGCATTTTCTTATTTGCTCATGCAACATGTAGATCCAGGATTTTGGAAAAAGGCACAAACTAGTCAACGTTTGGTATGTTCCTTATGTCGTTACTACAATACCCTTCCCTTTTCACGAATGTGACCTACCGAATTAGATTATTTACCGGATTTGTAATAACATAAGCAACACGACGGGTGCCACATGTGGAGCAGGATCTGCTTACCCTTCCGGAGCACCTGAGATCACCCCGAGTTTTTGGTGGGGTTCGTGTTGCTAAGTCTTTAGTTTTCTATGTTGTGTCATCTGTACTATTATTTGTCTGTTTGTCTTTTTATTTTTGGCCATGGCGTTGTCAGTTTGTTTTCGATCTGTGAGTTTGACTGTCCCTCTGGTATCTTTCGTCCCTCTTTTGGAGTGGCATATGCTAAAAGTCTATACATAAACCATATATGTAGCTCCATAGGGGGCGAGGTCCTGACTCTCCTACAAAATCCGTTTCTGCATGCAGCCTCTCTTGCTCTCTTATTCGAACTGTTTGTTGTGTCGTTTAATCTGCTAAATAGTAAAGATTTATTTCTTCTCCACTTCTTCATTTAAAATTTGAATCTCCTGCGATATACAATTTGGAATCCTTTTCTTTGTAATGATTATTTTTAATAAATATTTATAATATTTCTTTCTTTATATAGTAGTTCATTAACGTATTTGCACGGGCATTTCTTTAAGCGGGTATTCTATGTACCAAATCTTAAAAGTATTCCCAATTGGGTAACTTCATTATAATAATACAAGTTGTAACTTAATTTAAACAAATTATCAACTCAGAATTTAACTCCTCTTCATATATAATTTCAAGTTCATCGTGTTCATTATAATGAAAAAATAAATAAAATATTCGTATAAGATAAAAATAGTAATAGTTATTATTTTCATAGTTATATATTTTCACTTTTGACTGTCATTAGAGCATTATAGGTATGAGTATCTTATGACAGCTATGATTTACATTCTATGAAATATCATGATAATGTTAGTCATAAGATAGTCATAAAATGTGTCTTAAGATGAATCTTATGACATATCTTATGATACTTTCGAAAACCAGCTCCTGAACTTTTAAAAATCAACAAAATCAAATGTCTACTTATTTATTTCGTTTAAACATTGGTATTTATTTACTGTACAGCAACCGAATTTGGAATCCAGAGAAAAATCTACAGAGGCACATTAAGGAAGTTAACTGAATCAACAGGTGAACTTCGTCTTAGTTCAAATGATGTTTTAGTGGAGTCTAGTTTCTTCCATTTCCTTCCTTGAGTGTTGCAGTGTTTTTCCTTTTTTTTTTTGGGGGGGGGGGGGGGGGGGGGGGGGGGGGGGTAATTCATGATGTCAAAGAGTGGTGTCGTGTTAATTGAAAGGACTTTTAAATTTAATTAAATGTTATTTCTGACCGTTTTTCTCCACATAGAAGATCTATTTCAAACCCGCAGTAGCTTCATTTAAAAGGGGGACATGTATGTGTTCACGTGTGGAATTCTTTGGTGGCATCAATATTGTTTCAGGTAGATAAGTAGTCATGCCAAGAAATGTCTTTCGTTGAAATTTTGAAAACATTCCATGAAGAAAATTACACAGATGCAACTTAGACTTTGTTAAACGTCACCAGTGTTTGAGTAGAAAGTTGATACTAGATACTTATACATCCCGTCATTGTGTTATTGTGCTATGGTTAATTTTTGTACTTTTGTCTTTCGTTTTTGCTAATGTGCTTTGTCAATATGCCTTTTTGTTTTGCTTTTTTGAAATATTTGTTTGTTTTTGTAGTGATTAAGATTATAACACAATGTTGACTGCTGTATCCCTATTTGTACATTTTTACTTATTATGTCTGTTTTTTTGTTCACATATCGTTGTCAATATAATAGAATTTGATGCGACTGTCATACAAGTGAGAGGTTTAGCTAGCTATAAAACAGGTTTAATCCACCATTTTCTACATAAGAAATGCCTGTTTCAAGTCAGTATTATGACAGTTGTTATCCATTCGTTTGATGTGTTTGAGCTTTTTATTTTGCCATTTGCTTAGGGACTTTCCGTTTAGAATTTCCCTCAGAGTTCGGTATTTTTGCTATTTTACTTTTTGGTATATGGCAGGGGTCTAAGCGACACGTACATGCCAGTCATAAATTAATTTGTTGAATATTGAACTACTAATGGGTGTTGTAGGAGGTCCACCAAGATTTCGTGGCATGAGTCGACTTGTAGGGGGGGGGGGTGTGTCAGATCTATTATTTTTTTAATTAATAATAATAATTAGATTTTGGTTTTCTCCCAATCTAATTTTCTATAATTTTACATCTATATGTTTTGAACTACATTTGCATTTGTACAATTACATTATATCAAGGCTCTTGTATAGCCCGATCCAAACAACCTTTCTGTTCTGTGCTGTATACTGGTAAACATGTCAGGTTAACATGTTCCACCAGGGTTACTTCCAGGCACATTGATGAAGCAACCAGATAACAACATCACATTACCTGCATCTTAATAAATGTGGAACATGTTTAATTTTGTAACATCGGCCCAGGCATAATGCAATTGACACTAGATACTAGAATTAGTTTATTCATTGCATAAGTCGCACTTAAATGTCTATCTGCTCATCAAATGACCGTTTCCTGATTATCGATCTGTACCGTAATTTTCTGAAGTGCCTGTAAGTCGCCTTGCTATTGATCTGTACTATAATTATCTTAGGTGCCTGTAGGTCACCCTGTTATTGATATGTACTATAATTATCCGAGGTGTCTGTAGGTCACCCTGCTATTGATCTGTACCATAATTATCCGAGGTGTCTGTAGGTCACCCTGCTATTGATCTGTACCATTACCATCTGAGGTGCCTGTAGGTCACCCTGTTATTGATCTGTACCATAATTATCCGAGGTGCCTGTAGGTCACCCTGCTATTGATCTGTACCATTATCATCTGAGGTGCCTGTAGGTCACCCTGTTATTGATCTGTATCATAATTATCCGAGGTGTCTGTAGGTCACCCTGCTATTGATCTGTACCATAATTATCCGAGGTGTCTGCAGGTCACCCTGCTATTGATCTGTACCATTACCATCTGAGGTGCCTGTAGGTCACCCTGTTATTGATCTGTACCATAATTATCCGAGGTGCCTGTAGGTCACCCTGCTATTGATCTGTACCATTATCATCTGAGGTGCCTGTAGGTCACCCTGTTATTGATCTCTTGGGTACCTATAGGTCACCCTGCTATTGATCTGTACCATATCATATCATAGGTGCAAGAGTCACATTGATATTGACCTGTATCATAACCTTTCAAAAGTGCATGTAGGTCAGCTTGTTGTTAATCTGTACCGTATCCTATCAAAGGTGTTTGTAACTCATTTGCTATTAGTATCTACCATATCCTATCAAAGTTGCTGAAGATTATATTCCTGTTTATATTTACCATATCCTATCTAATTATCAATGGTGCCTGTAGGTCACCCTGTTGTTTACCATGTCATATTATAGGCGCACGTAGGTCCTCTTGTTATTTGCCATATCACATTATAGGTGCCTGTAGGGCACCCTGTTATTTACCAAATCTTATCATAGGGGCCTGTAAGTCATCCAGCTATTTATCCGTACCATAAGTGCGCGCAGGTCACCATGTTATAATTAATTTCGTTAACTAGATGATTGTAATTGTCATTACCATATATTATCATAATTATCAATAGTACATGTAGGTCACCCTGTTATTTTCTTTATCCTATCATAGGTGCATGTAAGTCATCATGGTATTTATAGTATTCAACCTTCATGTACCTATGATACAGATCTATATGGTGATTGGATATGCAAGCTCCTATAATACGCAAAAGTATAGATAAATAGCAGTGTGACCTGCAGGCACATATGATAGGCTATAGTAAAGATAAAAAGATATGTGACCTGTAGGCACCGATTATAAGCTATGTTGCATATACATTGCAGTGTGACCTGCAGGCTTCTATGATTGGCTCTGGTAAAGATCTATGAGGATACAACCTGCATGCACCT